TTTTCGTGACGGATCAGGGTGGATGTTACGCCTAAAACTGTAGAAATAAAGCTGCGTTTTTAGATTTCTCCGGCGAAGTGTGGACGCCGCCTTAGAAAATATGGTATCGAGAAGACTACATGTAAGTAGAAAACGCTGATTAATGGAGTTGCAAGGTTCATTATTCTCAATTATCCTGGAGTACTGAAAAATTTTACTATTCGAAGCAAAGTGCTCCGGACGACCTTGCTCAGACTCACTAGTTGTTACAACAGTTACGTTCGAGAAAGGAAAAGAAGAGTAAGATGACAGTATGTGAAACATATACTGCCATTAGAACTGTTCATTAGAACGCGCGAACGCTGTTCAGGCAACCGCTTTTCAACATCGACGTTTCTTATTCTCCTCGGCGTGCTCGTGGTTGTAGAACAAAGTGAATTGGTACTTTGGGTGAAACAAATGCAAAAACTTTGCGGTCATTTGTTCTATAAATGGGTTATGATTTCTTTGGTGGCTATGCCTTCGACGGTCGACATCAAAATTCTCAATACAAGACCGTAAATTGTTTAGGAAAATGCTAGCAGAGATTTTCCGAGGCCATCAAATGCTCCAGGCCGGTAATGATCTTGATGAATCACTAAATTCTCAGAGGAAAAGTTTTCAAGTATGCAGGAGAATCGGTAAGGAGAATCAAGCAAATTGATCAATAAAAGACTATGAAAGAACAAAAAAGTTAATGACTACCACAAAAGCAGTCTTTGTCGTTGAAATTTATTGCAAGGTTTTTATTCAGATGACTCTTAACCAAGACAATATTTCAGAATACCTCATTTGCTTAAGAATGGCAAGCTTTATTTTTAATTTGCATCGTGTTGACTCGAGCGTAATAAAACTCTTTTGAAATTATTTGACAGCTTTCTATAAATACATGTAGTGCTGTTTGTTCGCCTGTCAGCAAAATTATAACATCCTAATTAACTGCGGATCTGTAAACAATTGCGCGTAATGACTTCACATGTGTACGTTACCCCGGCAGACGAAACGTTTCAAGAATACGTTACCATGGTAACGAGAAATGGTAACACCGGTTACAATCGATGTTGACGAAATGTCAAATGTATTTTTAGGTATTGATCAAGAATATGATTCTTGGATAAAGCACGGTTTGTTTTAAGTAGATGGCTCAATAATTCTTAAATTAGAGCACCAGCCTTCGATAATGAAATTCTGTGCATAAATTTTGTTTGGTAAATTATATAAACTCGATGTGTCTGTATGTTATCTTTACCCTTTTGAAGACTTAACAATTATAGCAGAATAACTTAACCGATGTTCTAAGTTGGGAGAATGTTACTCCATAGCAATGGTGTCACTGATTGATCCTGTGTGCTTAGATGACAATATTCCGGTTTTTGAGACCAGATCAAATGAACACAAGAATTGAAAGAGGGCGGTGTTCTGTAACTCTTGCAAGATATGCTCTCTGCACGCAGTTTTGTAGACTTAGTGTGCACCGAAACCGACTTTTGACAACTTCAAGAAAAAATATATAGCAGCCCAGATTCCATGAGAGCGTTATACCCCGATGCCTTCTTAATTCAGTGTTAAAGTTAACAACGGTGTCAAAGACTGCTCATTGCGGCTGACTAATAAGTTCTGGCTAATCAGGTGAGAAATAGGAACGAAAGACTTTATTAGTCCTCTGAGATCATCTGCCAGTTTGTTTGGTTATGTTAATAATGTTTGCTTCGGTTATTACGTAAATCCGCATTTCCTTAATCATTGCTGTCGAAATGTAATGAAAGAAGTGACATCTCTGCCAAGTTTATTTGGTTTCGTGTAGATATCTAAGCGCCGATATATCAACTTGCCAATGTGATCAGTGATAAATCACGAGTACACAGATGAATAACGAAGGACATAGTTTTAAATACAAATAAGATACTTTTTAGTCCTTTGGAACTAAAGAGCCGTGATTCACCGCATTAAAGTTGGGTTGATCAAGCTGTACACAAGAGAGGTTTCCTGGCAAATCATGGCGCAGAACCGAAGAACGATCTCTAAACTCGAGTTTAACAAACGGGTCCGTGATCTGGTATCGCGTGATAGCAACAGGCTACGGCAAACTTTTCAAAAGTTTGACAAGGAGTACGCAAGCCGTATGGCCGAGATTCACAGCATGCAGGAAAAGGTTCGCCATTCCATGAGGAATTTGACGCAGGAAAAGATGCAAGCGCGGCCAAGCTCGGAGCTTGTTAATTATCATCGCGGCACCAGACTGGAAAGTGAAGCAGAAGGCGGAGGGAAATCTTCCACAAACGATCAACGAGAAGGAGGCATATCCAACACCAGAATATCAAACGCGGATGAAAGAATGCCGAAGCATAATTACAAGGCTTCACTACCGGGCATTCAGTTTAATCATTCCGACCATCTTGAAGTCCCAAATCGTGGACAAGCTAGAAGCCGGCGACACTCTTTACCGCATCCTCCGACATTTTTACCGGGAAGCCCGAAGGAGAGCCGAGCACTTCCGATCCATGTCTCTCATCCCAGGACAATCGCTTCCTCTCTGCCAAAGGAAGCTTTTGCGAAACCAGGATCACCGAAGGACATATCCCTGATGTCTAACCTGTCTGGTTCTCCAAAAGAGTCTTTCCATGGAGTTCACTTGCAATACCCAGAGAATGCAAGGCATCGCAAAAGCGATTACAGATTGTCAGTTAGGGAGCTACCGATTTCGTTGTCACGTTCTGATCCCATGTTTACCGTTAAAAACAAATTAAGCCCACAGTTGGATCGTAAAGGCCATATTGTTGCGTCAAAAGGTGAAAATGACGGAGATGGCCAAAACGCAAACTCTGAGCCTGTTAAAGATGACACATCCGAAGATCGTGAAGATAGCTGCGATAAGGATTCCCAAAGTCCAAGAGGAAGCCATGTCACACTGCAACGCCAACCAGTAGCTAATCATTCATCTGACCATGCCGTGGAATGCGAACAACAAAGGGGAAACGATTCTAATCATGTCAAGCCCAAAACTCTTCTAAAGAGGACGAGAAGTTCTTCTGTTCCCTGTGATCCAGATCGTTTGAGTCTTAAATCCAGGGACAACACCCGTACTGGCGAATCCAGGCCTAGCCGGTTGGCTAATCACGCCGCTGGTACCAAACGAGATGTGTCGCCTGCAATCCGAGTTGTTACACCGCAGGGGGGCATGGATACATCTTCAAAGCGTTTTGAGGAACTCCGTAACTGCAGGTATTTAAGAAACAGTAACATCGAATCCTAATACATTCATCACATACAATTACATTCCATGGAACTGGTCTATGGATCGATTAGACTAAACACGCCACGTGACCCACGACTGTTTCATCTTATATATTACATTGAAATTGGGGTAAATTCGAGGATACGCTTTCACTAAAGTCGGACAGCTTGGCTGAGCCTCCCTTAGAGAGAAGATATCTTTGGAGATGTCAGCTGGAGGATAATCAAGACAATACCCTGCAATATGCACGGATGCTCTTGCACACTATTATATTCCAAAACTTACAGTCTTCCTCGAGATTCGCTACCTGAAATCTGTTCTCCCATGTTCAAGGACGATTATCAAACAAATATGCTCTCAAATTTCGCGTTAACTTACGGTTGATGTTTCCAATTGTATTGTTAGTCTGGGCATGGACCAGCAACTATACTTTATACGTAACAGACCCCATCTCGCTTCTTACCCAGTGAAACGTAGATTCCTTCCAGTTAATTAACTCAGTGGGACAGCTTGTGCCCAGTCTTCCGGTGGTTGAGTGGTGCAGGTGATATCGACCTTTTTTGTCAATCATTAAATGATTTTGGCAAGACTGCAACCAACTCACAAAATTATTTACCCTGTTATTTGCTAATGAGCAATTTTCAAGTTTTTGTTGGTGTTTTCACATTGACATATAACGATCGGTATTCACAACACTGACCGTTAAATCTTTAACTCTGGTATAAATAAAGGCTTTCGTGATATCAAAGGCTCTAGTCATCTACAATGCCATTTGGGCAATTTTTTTTTACAAAAACAGACCTTAATTGTTTTTCATGCTTCTTTTCGTATGTGAACTCAACATCTGAGCAAACAAAATTAAACTTGTGAAATTCTGGCCGCAGCAAAAAGAGAAAAAAACTGGCTCGAAAGCAAGTACAAGTTAGAACTTTGCGTCCGGAGTCTTCACTTTGCTTAGTAGTTTAAAAACGTATTCCAAGTTTTGTGTTATATAATCAGATAAGAGGTTCCGACCCTTTGTTCTGCTGGAGTCTTAAATTATTACCCGCAGATTAGCACGAGGACTGTGGGGTAGCTCAATATAAAATAGGGCTGTAATGAAATCTGTTAACTTGAACCATGCGAATAGTAAAAAAACAAGATACTTGTCACGCAAAATATCAAAATACAATAAGAGTCACTTCGTAGGTACACATCTCAACCGATATGCTGGACCTCAAGCCAAACACTTGGATGAGCCAGTGAAATTTTTCAATTGCACCGGCCGAGGAAAATTACGCAACACTTAACGACAACTTGTGAAATTTCATCAAGTTTTTCATATTAACATATCGAAATGTGTTGTATAATACATTGTATTCACCTTTTGTACTGTTGTACGGAGTAAACCTGTTCATTTGTCGTTACTACTTGTACACGTCAATGCTAGAACATTTCAGTCACTTTTAAGCCACCTAAAGATTCATTTGAATTATTTTGCGTGCACGAAAATGAGTCGGAGGAGTCTGATAATGTCAACACGAAACGAGAAAGCGAAGCGTCTCAATGCAAACGAAGACAATTTACTCCAGATGGAAATGGAACGCTTCCAGAAACAGCACAACAAAGAGATGAAAAGCATTATTCTCGAAAAGCAAACCGCTAAAGAAGCCATGAGCGGTGTCAGATGTCAAAGGGCGTCTTCTCTACTGGCTGCCCGAATGGTTCTACAGGAAACCGATGCATTAAATAATAGCTCCAATTCCCAAGCTTTGTCTGTAAAGGTCTTCTGTGAGGCCAAGCAAAACCAAGTTCCGAGCAAGATGGTACCAGGTTTGGATACTGACGAAGATGGGTCATGTTGTTGGAAGACTTACCCGCTGAATCCCACACAGAAAGGGTCAGATCTTGACAGAGAATTATTAGACAACTGTAACGTGACCTCGTTGCCTTCGAAAAATGACCATTTTGGACGGTCTCGCAAGCGCGAAGAAACTTTTTCAGAGGGAACAATAACAAACAAGATCTTACAAAGTTCGGGAACTCTGACAAACACACTTATTGTCCAGAAACCTTGTCTGCCGAATCCTCCACAGAAAACGTCAAATCGTGCCATGGAGTCATCAGAATATCTAAGCGTACCCTACTTGGCTTCGAAAATTGATCATTTTGAACGACCTCCCCACATACGCCCCCGAAGGTTTACAGAAGGTGCCACGGATGCGCACTTAGAAGGCGCATGTTCATTGAGTGGGAGCAGGCTGAACCACATAACCAATTCCAGAAATTTGGCGAATCAATATCGGGATCAGCAAGGTAACTCTGCGGTCAAAAACAGTGTCGCGGACGACAATAGACCAAGAAGCCGCAGCGATGATTTTAAACGCGTACTAACACCGAAAAGTGCTTTGGAAAAGAGAAATCTGTCCCCAAATGGTTCCAGCAGTGCGAGATCCAGAGGGAACAGTCCAGAACCGAACAGTTTTCACAGCCCGTTAATTCTTCGCGCATCACTTCCCCGAACGTCCCTGATGAATCGACGGGTTAGCTCAGAGACCAGTAAACTACTGACGAAACGCATCTCCTTAGAGCCATGCCACAAGTCTTCGACGCAATCCCAAAACAAACTTAGCCCTTCTAGAGGCATTGCTAAATTTCGTCAAACAGGATCCGCCGCTGCTGTTGCCCAGACTCTCGTGTCGCGCTATCAACGCGAGAAAGCTATTTCGAACGCAACTGAAAATCTCATCACTGAGCGGCAGAGAATGAATGACAGCTTTATTTAAGTCTCAGTCTTAATAGCTGAGCACAAGTGCTCTACTAATTGGGGAGACTAAAGTATAAAGTAAAATGTATTCACTTAAGATTTAGCAAAATTAAGAAAATATTAAAATATTAAAATTGAATCAAAAAAAAAAAAAAAAAAAAAAACTAATTTGTTGATAAATACTATCATAATATTATCACCTAATAGTTATTTAACAACTAACTACATGGATGAACAGCAAGAAGAACGCATACATCCGTCGTCCAGCAGAGAGCTAACGCCAAACTTTCTAATAGTGCTTTTTGAGAAGAGACAAAGTGCGTCAAGAACATCAGCAAATGAAAGAAGATTGGGAAAAAGCTGGCTGCACACGCACGACTGGTTTGAAAGAGGGTTTCTTTACCATCGCCCAGCTTGTCATGGCTTTGAATGCTGTTAAGAAAGCAGCGAGTGGACGATCTACGTTAGCTGAAAAGTACACTGTAGATTGGGTGACATTTCTTTTCATCTTGCAATACTGTGTTACAGTATTGTAAGCTATGGTTCATCGCTCTTCGAGTTGTAAACCGGTTAATCAATCCGAATTAGGGGCCAAACAGGCTCTATACCTCAGCACGTGTACTTATTTCGATAAGACATTTAATTTAAAATGGCAGTTTTAGAGCAATGAGGACCTTCACAATTTTGAGAACCTCTTACAAAGGCAGGATAAAGCAGGGTTTAGACGCATCAGAAAGTTCAGCAGTTTTTAACCACCTCAAGGACAGACAAACAGCCAGGTTTTTCATGCAAATGTACGTTTGGCACTGTACTAAATGTAATCATGTTTTACTGCCAATTCGTATGTCTTCTCGATCTCGAATTGTATTGTTTGGAACATTGCCAGTGATCGTCACGGGTAATTATGAAATCGTGAGTGGTTGAGCTACAACTGGGTTTAAGATCTAAGCCTTGGTATCGCAAGGCTCAGTCGGGGAAACGCCTGCTGCTTTCATACTTTATACGGCACTAACCAACACGCCATCTAGGAACAAACGCTCCTTTGTAAATATTTACACAAAAGTACACGCAATAACTTCACATAATTGGTTGGTTTGATTGTTGTACAAACTGATAGATAAGCACTCAAGATCGATGGATTATTCTCGTTCAATTTTCTTTGTACAAGCCGGCTCATTTATGTAAATAAATCGATAACGTCTGCAAATGAGTTTCACAGTGGATGCGTTATCTAGAGGGGGGAGATTTTTCGCTATAGCGACGATCAGTAATAATATCAGTGAATTTTGCGATCTAAGATGTGGAACCACAGCTAATCCTTGACATTTTAACCCCCGCTTCCTGATTGAGTCACGTCTGCGATCAATTTCATACCTTTATCATCGTTCATTCATCATTTCACCTGACCATCACCGGTATAATAACAAATTATGAAACATCGAATTCTCGACTGACAACTGAATTAATTCGTCGTGGGTAATATGCTGTGGACATAAACGAGGATTAGGTAGAAACCACCCACGATGGGTATGTGAGAACTGTGCTCATCAAAAACGCAGCCACGGTGTTATTATTATTATTATTATTATTATTATTATTATTATTATTATTATTATTATTTTTTTTTTTGCTTAAGTGTGCCAGCTTCGCGAACTAATAAATGGAAACTGTTGATAACGTTGATCAGACCATAAAATATTTACACACACCTGACTTGAAAAAGAAAAAAAACAACAACTGTCTTGTAGTTGAGCCAACCGCTCCTCCAAGTTGACATGCGGTCATAATTAGATCGGTTCTCGACGTGCTGATTTGCTTTGCGCTCTACTACTACTGCTATCACCAATTAAGCCGCTACTCTGACGACGTAACCTTTTTAAACTTCTATTTACGACAGACCTTTCTAGACGTGTACCATCTGTCACTCCGTGGTATGCCTGTATGGTATTGCTGTCACGTGATGAGGTCAATCATGAAAACGGCTGTCAAATGCAATGGATGCCAGAAATGAAGGGGTTGATAAAATTGGTAACATTGCCTCTTTTGACTCCTTTGATGGATAGGTAAAAAAATTTTATGGCGGTATTAAGGCTTTACAGTGCTGTGCGCCGTTGTTGCCAATAGATACACAACAGCTTACATTTCGACATCAATGCAATGGTCCCAAAATTGGCAATCTTACTAAATTTACCACGCTCTTTTTATTTGTGGTACCCAGTTTACATCACGACTCTTTCTTATGAATGAGAAGTTCCCAATGTCTCTAGAAGTCCCGACGTAGTCAA